ATATCCTTGAGATGCGAAAAAAATGTGAATCTAGACAATCCGCAATGCAAAAGTACGGTATTTCACAAGCCACCTTGTTCCGTATATACGCACAAAGCGAAAGGATTAAAAATGATTTCGAAAGCAGGATGGAATTTAGCACTTTCGAAACACGTTTAATGCAACGTGCAATTGATATAGATAGAATTGTTCACCAATGGTACTTACGATGTAAGGAAAGAAACGAACAAATGACGGAAGCAGACATAAAGAGAAGAGCTCTAGAAATTAATATGAAGTTACTGGGAACTCCTAGTTTTAGCGCCGGCCGCGCTTGGTTCCAACGCTTTAAAAAACGATACAGTATTACTAATGCGGATGTCAAGGTAACTGTTCCAGTCAAAACTGAAACCATTGCAGCGGAAGCCTTTAAAGCTGATTTTAACAGATTACTGATTGAACGTCGGATCATACTGCGGAACGTTTACAATGTCGTTTACACAACAATAATGTGGAAAATAGTGCCAGAAGGAACTTGTATTATGGACCGTGCGAAATTGACAGGAAACCTGGAAATGTGCGAAGATTACGTTACTGCACTTTTTTGTGCAAATGCTACCGGATGTCGCAAGTTGCCAGTACTACTAATCGGTACCGAACCGGATATTCATGTTTTACACAATTACGATACAGAAGCTTTCTCACCTATCTACAAATCAAATGCCAATGCTTGCATGGACAGAACCATTTTCAAAGAATGGTACGAACACATTTTCTTAGAATCAGTCAAAGCAAGACAACGGGAGGACGCTCCCAGGGAGCAATATTTGTTGTTACTCGATAATGTTATGTCACTTCACAATCTCAATGATCTTCACGATTTAGATCGTTCCGTTATATTTATGTCTCTTCCAGTTAACGTATCACCACTCCGTCAACCAATGAATTGTGGTATAATATCATGTTTCAAGCGAAAGTACCGAATCGAATTACTGAAAACAACGATGCCAATAACTGTTGGCGGCACGGAGGAAGATCTGATAGACGTCCATAAACAAATATCCAAGTGGGATTGCTGCCGGATTGTACATAATGCTTGGTCAAGTGTCGACTATGCAATACTGATAAGCTCGTGGGACAACCTTTTGACGGTTAGAATGGTGCGGAGTATAAGTTTCGAAGATAAATGGGAAGCTGACATGCAAGAAATATTTAAAATTATGAAAGTATTACCTGCATGTGAAGAGTGCGAAGAAATCCATGTGTATAACTGGTTTTCTATTGAGAACCAATATGATATAGTCAAGAAGAAATGTGTCGAAGAAGTTCTTCGAGAATTTAATGACAATCCAGTGAATATAGGTATTATAGACGATGAAGCTGGACCTTCTCGTGCGAAGCTCTCAAAGAGGAGCTAAGGTGGTTTGAAACACAAAATGAAAGTAACTCGGTGGAATTGCTTCTATTAAAACGCGTATATTAAAAAATGTGTTAAGATATATAATATGATTTATCGATAAGTAATTGTGGAACCCGTATGATTTTATGTAGCGTCCAATTGTTTCCTTGTAGCATTTGTTTTGATGTACAGAAAAAGCTGTTTTTTATAATTCAAACACATTTATCACTATTAGTTCCAATAATCAAGATTCTACTATGTATGGAAGACAAGGAAAGACGCGCAATGTTATTCTTGTATTTACGTTCTCTTTCAACTTTATACTTTGAATTTGGCAAATTAGAGTTTAAGTAATTGTTAAATTAAATGTTTATTGGGAATATAGAGATGGATCGATGAATGTATAAAACAAGTATATTATTGCACAAATAAATGATAATGACCTTAAAATAATATTTAAAAAATGTCTTCTAGCAAAACATTAT